GAAAAATTTTGACTTCTTATGGATGATTTCAATTAGTAGTGTGAAAAATTCTGGCAACTTTTTGTTGCTGCGATAGTATTCCTATGAGAATCTATATCTCCAAACACTTTGCTTCCAATTGCGGAGGTGATTAGTACTTGGCGCGGCAAGTTCTATTGGATCAATCACCGATGATGAAGTGTGAAGCCGATTCGTTGAGTTGGTTTCTTTTTCAGTAGGTCAGAAAAATTGGTTGGCTGGAATACAAGTGAGTCGCTGAAAATGTTCTACTGAATTCCTGAAGGTCATTTGGTAGTAGGTTTGTCGAGAAGTTCGTCAAAACTGATGGCTCATTGTTTTTCAGGAATTGATGCATGAAGTTCGCTATTGATTGTTATCTCTTTGTAAGACTAAAGCTAACGGTATCAAGGACATATTGCAGGTCGTTGAAGAGTCGTTGAGTTTCACTGATGCTGTCGGTTGATTCTTAGGAGTTTTCAAAGTAGAAGTTATTGTGAAGAAGGTCTTTCACATGAGGGAGGATCGATTCATTGCTGTCGGCACAAGTTTGCAATGGAAAGTTGGCGCGAGTGGATGAGCACTTTGCACCAAAGACAAAACGGGTGTATTCATAGAAATCTAGTTTGGTGGTTCTCCAGAGATATCAGAGAAAAATTCGGTCTTCTGGCTGAACAGATACTAGCATATACATCTCTTCTATGTCGGCGTTAATTGAGTATTTGCATTTGCGAAATCGACAAATTACGGCAATTAGGTTACAATTCCAGTCTGTTGGGGTCACTTTCAACTCGTGTTTGCATCTTTTTGAACTGCTGGTAGGCTGAAGCGTAATTGTTTCGCAAAGTTGCATTGGGTTGCTTTAGTTTGATTTGTAGCGGTTGATTTTGTGGGTGATTGATTTCCGGAGGTTTTCAATGCTTAGCGTTTGCCTTTCGATAAGGTTAATTTGGGTGTAGATACATACAATTCATTCTCCAGGAGTTGACAAGGAGTGTTGAAAGCTCTATGTCATCCGGTGATACTTTTTCATGTGTTGAGGCGTCACGAAAGACATCTCTCTCAAACATGTTGGCAGTTGAACCTCCAATGGTCCATCCAAGGGCTGTTGCAATTGCTCGAGGGGCAGAGTCAGGTCCTTTGATAACTGAGAGTGTCGTAATTAAGTCGATGTTGGCTGTTTCCTGAAAATTGAGACCTGATTGTTTTAAGTTGGGAAATGTGATGTGGCGAGGATGATTTTAGGTTCCGCAAATGCCGTTGAGTGTGTTTGGCTGAAAATTCTCAAGTCTCAAACTTTGAAGTATGTCAGCTCTTTTAATTTGGAATTCTTCGTTGAGGGTTCCAAGGCGATGAACAGTCAACTCTGTTGATCGGGCAGTGATCTTCTTGGAGTCGTGAAAACCGTGAATGAAAAATTATTCTGCAGTTTGTCTTTCTCCTAGTTGTAGGTAATCGGCTGTTGATGTAAGCATGTAGCTGTCGTTGCTATTGTTGTCTAATTAGTCCTGATGTACTTGTTTCTATGTCTCAACGTAACTAGCGCAGAGAGTAAGAGAAACTTCATAAATCTCTCTTGCTGTCGATTCATGAATTAGTCGTCTGTGATGAAGGCTGTTATGATTTGAAAGATGTCTGCTGGTAGTAGATTCTTCCTCGTGGAGGCTGATGTGATGTTGTCGGTTGCAGGTTGCGCATACTCGGTTGGAGGGGCAGTTTTTTTACCCAATGTTGTCCCAAGCAATGGAGGCTCAGGCTTTTCGAGAGAATGAGTTTTCTTTTTGCTTCGATTGACTGGTGTTCGTAATTGTCGCAATAGTAAGAGTGGTGTTCATGGAAAGAGAATCCGCAAACATTGCGGCTTTTCTGTTGGATTCCTTGTTGTTGGTTGAAGGTCGGTTATCGTTTCGAACAGATTGTTTGTCATCGTTTTCCGGTTTGGTTCACTCGAGTTACGATGTTTGCGAGAGGTGTTGCTGGCGTTAGAGACGTCTTCTTCAGGAAGGTAGTCGCAGGCTGAGGCAAGATTCCATAACCAGTCGTTAAACAGGGCAAGATTTGGCTTCTGTATGTCATTGTTTACAAGATACTGGGTCCATTGTGATCCTGATTGTTCACTATGATGAAGCTTGTTGACTGAAAATTGTAGATAAATTGTCCAGTTGGGGTCATTTGCAAATCCAAGAGTCAAGAAGTTTTCAACAAGGTTGCTAACGAAAGAAGAAAACTCCATGTGTGAGTCCTTTCGATGGGTCAATGGCGATCGAAAAATGTTTAATTGTCTGATAAGGATTTTTACGATAGTGTCAGTGTCAGATCGTCCGAATCATCTCTAGAGTTCACGTAAGGCTGTAGTTTTCATCGCGCTGTTGCAGGCAAATCGAGCGCCCAATTGATTTGCTTTTCCTGTGGTCAAAGCCTGGAGGTGCGTCAGTTTATCGGAATCAAAAATTGGTTGATTGTGCACTGTGGCCTGAATAAGTCCAAACCACATGCTCAATTTCAATGGATCACCATCAAGTTTTTCCATTCTGAACTTTAAAAACCAGGAAGTCTGGCTGAACGTCACAGATGATTGAGTCCGTAGAGGAAGGTGTTGATACTGATGATGATTTGTTGTTGAAGCATTAATCGGTTGAGCTGCGTACTACGTCGACAAGGTGGTTGGGATTTCGAAACTGTTCTATGGATTGGTTGCTGTCGTCTGAATTAAGTTGCATCTGCTGGTTGATGTTGCTGCGTAAACTGAGAGCTGTTGTTGATGCAGAGGTTGCTGCTGGTGCAATAGTTGTTGCTAGAGTGAAAATTATTGATGTCGTCAAAGCTGTACTTCTGTACTTAGTCCGAAAAATTTTACTCTACATGTGTGTAGACGTTTGATCATTTTCGGTGGCTGTCAAAACTGTTGTTCAAATGATCTGCAAAATCAAAAAAAAATTGAAGGTTTGGATGACGTTGATGGTTGTTTCGTCTTCAGTGGGATGCTTAACTAGTCAATTTGTAGCACTGCTCAAGTCGGGCTAACAACTTTGCTTAAACGACGCTATCATAGAATTTTTGTTATAGGAATTTTGCATTTTCTTATAAACAGTGGCTCTAGAAACGTTATAAGATAGGGATTTTTTAAAATATCAAAGTTGTAAGATAGCGACTTTTCTTGCAGCAAAATTGCTCTTTGTTAGTTTTTCTTATCTTTTTGTTGATGTTTATCTCCCAACAATGCTGTAAAAAAATCAAAAATTGATTTTATAAATGGCATTTGAAAAAGGTTGCTAAATTATAGCGGGATCTCTCAAATTTTGGATAATCCGGTGAATATTTTTTTCAGGTGAGTTCAGCTCACTAAAACACTAAAGAAAAGTTTCCTTATTACAAACTACCGTTAAATTCGTGAAAAAAAACAATAATTCAAACTCTGACTGGCCAAAATTGCAATTGCTACGAACCCTATAGTTTTTAGGCATTAAACAAATTTATGCAGATTTCATGCAATTTATTTTCAGACAGATCTCTATTTAAGTTTTTTTGTTTAGATATTATATGCTGACTAAATTCAGACTCTCTAGAGAATTTTTACAGGTTGAAAAGAGTAGAGCAGTCGAGTTTTTTTTGCCCTACACTTATTTCATATTTTTCAGGAAAAAAAACAGATTCTATCTGTCTGGAGTCGATTATTGTTTGCAAAATGGTCTTAGATAAATCAATTCTATACTTATTTTGATGTGTCGATTTTCCTGTTCATAATAATTTTTTATCCATTTTTTTCAGTGCGGTAAAGTTGTAAGATTGCTGAGTTTTCCTAAATTGTTGGATATTTTGTTGGTATCATCTGAACAACCCAAAGATTTATCTTATCAGCTACTCAGAGCAAAATTTGGATCCCAAAGTAAACTTTTGCCCGATGTATAACTTTTTTCCTGATGATACCAAAACTTTGTCTGCTGAAGACTGTTCAGATCTCCCCTAGAAACTGGTCAAATAGTGTCAAATATTATTACTTTGTCAACTATTGAGTATAATGTAACTTAATTCCACTCAGAGAAGTGCCGAAGTGAAAACTTCGCGAACTAAAACTCTTAGATATCAAGCAAGCAGGCGACAAAATCACTGAGTTTACTGCAAAAACACCCGTTTAACTATGCTTAAACCCCAGGATCCATCCCTGCTATCAATTTTTTCAAATAAATTTATCTGAACAAAAAAAACCATATAGATGTCTCACTTTTTTTCTTTTTTTTCGAAAGTCCGGACAACAAATGGTAACTTGCCTTGGATCGCTACGACTACTATGGGTTATCAGTTTTTGTTCCTTGGCGGTTGTTATTTTGGTCAATATGAGATCAGAAGTCCACAATTACTTGTTTGTGTCTAGAAATAGCCTAGATTTAGCAATTATCTGATCGGGGAAAAAATTGAGAAAAGAAAATTTCAAGATTTTACTGCTTTACTTAATTAATTCACAAAAAACGGGTCTCATATTCAGAATAAAGCTTAATGTTGAGGGTACATCAAAACATCATTTTTTTTTCGCTGGCTAAAGTTTTCGTTTCCTTGCTTAAAAACTAATCCGTTCACAAGGCCGAGCAAACAGTTGGTTGTTCATCGTTATTCCCCTGCTCTCTCGCTCTCTCGTTCTCTCGCTTTCTCTCTCTGATTTCTCTCTCTCTCTCTCCCCCCCTCTATCTCGCCCTCTTTCTCCTCTCTCGATCTACTGCTCTCTCTGACTCTCTCGCTCTATCGCTCTCTCACTCTCTCGTCCTCTGATTATTTCACTTGCTCACACTCACACACACACACACATTCTCTCTCTCTCTCTCTCTCTCTCTCTCTCTCTCTATCGCTCTCATTCTCTCGCTATCGCTCTCATGCTCTCTCTCAGTTTTCTTCCTGTCTCGTTCTCTCGCTCGCTCTCTCATTCTCTCGCATTCTCGCTATTTTGCTCTTTCTCTTTCTTTCTCCAACTCAATCTCTCTTTCTACTGCTCTCCCGCTCTTTCACTCCCTCTATCTTTCGATCTCTCGATCTCTCGTTCTCACTCTCAATTTTTTGCTCTCTCGCTCTCTAGCTCCCTCACTCTCTTCAACACTCTCTCTCTCTCTCTCTCTCTCTCTCTCCCGCTCTCCAGCTTTTTCTCTCTCACTCTCCACTCTTTCACCTTCTCGCTCCCTCCCTTTCTCTCTCTCCAACTCTTCCTCCGCCTCCTCTTTCTCCTCCTCTTCCTCATCCCCCTCCTGCTTCTCTCTCTCTCTCTCTCTCTCTCTCTCTCTGTCTCTCTATTTCTCTTCTCTTTCTCGTTCTCATAAAATTTTGATGCGTTAATGATGATAAGTCGGACCTAATACTTGGAGAGATTGGATTTTGGTATGAAAAGAATGTTCCGTTTGATAGCTTTGGAACAGTTTGAGTAATGATCTTAAATCAATCATATACAAATCAAAGATCAATTTTTTTTGGTTGAATGTTTGGTTTGGTAAAACGTTTAAACAAAAAACTAGGAACATTTTTGCAACCATTTAAAGTCAAAAAGTATCACTCTTAAAATCTACTCATTCAATAACTGAAATACATGAAACCACAAGTAAGGTTATTCAAAGAACTACTTCGTCTGAATTCATGGAAAAGGTGTACCTAGTCACAAAAATTGACATTCAGTTCAAAAATAATTAAAACTTTTTATCAAAAGGTCAGCGAAAATTTTGTAATCTTAACCTTTCGGAGCATATTTTTGCCTGAAGCTTGAAGCTCAACCCTCTCAATCGAAGATCCATTTTTGATCAAGTCAAAGAACTTTTGCTGAATCTCAAACAGCAATCTGAGGGATTTTAATTTGGTTGTTTTTGCAGGCTTTTTGTGTTTTGTTGTAAGCTAAAAAATAAGTGTGTATCTGAAATGATGTTTTATTATTAACCAGAGTGGGGCCTAACACGCATCAAATACTAAAATTTTTACCAATTTTTGTGATTTCATGTCACAGAGCACATCCAAGAAGTTGTAAAGATAATCTGAGTTTGAAAAACCTATCATGTATTTACCAAGAAAACATAAGTGTCGGGGTTGAAAAAAAAACACTTCTCAATCAAAAACATTGTTATGAAAAAACCTCCTGGACCACTGCATACTATATAATAGAAAACATGTACGAAAAAATGAGCCATTTGCTTTGTTCCAGTATAGCATGCCGAGGGGGGAGGGTTTCAGGCAACCGCCCACCTTTAATTCTGGCTGCCAAGTTTTTCCAAAAATTCCCCTCTTTGGTACGGTTTTTAACAGATCCATTTCTGGCTGATCATCATCAAAAACCTTATGCAAGCGCCTTTGTCGCAGAAACAACTTAATAGTGCTCAAATGGCCACTTTTCATAAGATGTTTTCCGTTTTTTAAAATTATCGATCTTGTTGTTTTCCATATAAGTTTTGGGTTTTTTGAAAACTAGGATTAAAGATGAACTACAAAAAACGGTTTTTAGTGGGTAGCAAGCATGTTTTTTTAAAGACGGCTTTGTTTGAAATTAGTTTGCAAAGAATATGACAGCTGAAATGACAATTGTGTTTTTAAAACCATGTTTCTAGCAAAAAAGTATACAGGTAAGTTTGAATTGAACTCAGACTTATTTAAAATTATGTGTAGCAAAATTTTTTCAAGGAAATCTGAAAAATTGCTTTTAAATTTTATTAAAAAAACAAATAGCTACAACTTTCAAAGAAAGCCGTCCTCGGCAGAGCCCAAGTGTCATGAGACGACCTTCGGTACCTCACTCTAGTCCATTTGTCTATCTATATCTGTTAGTTGCTCCAGCAGCGTTGTTGGACGAACTTTTTTCTTAGCCTGAAGCTCCGAGACCCTCGGAGGACGAAGCAGAAGCCGCAAATCGAAATCTCCGCAATGCAGCCGCGAATAGAAGAATATACGAGGACAATAAGGATAGGAGACGTAAAGGCCCTCGGATAGGACATAACTGGTGCTATCAAGAGGCGGAATCGCGTCTAAAGTCTAGACTCTTTTTGTCGTTAGGCAATGAGGGGAAAAAGCGGTTTTTTGGAATCGTATCCCCAGTTAGACCTGCATACCTGTTGGTTCATCGATTTTCACATGAGTTGCGTTTTTTCTTATTTCTACGCACGTCTCAGTGCCCAAAACCGCGTTGCGCAACTGGCCGTTAGAACTGGAGAAAGCGACCTTCAAAATCCTGTTTATTGGTCGCATTAGGGACATTGACGTACAACGTCAGCTGATCAAGGCTAAGGCTAACCTCAAAGAAACTTTACAACTGGCACTAGAGATTGAAAAAAGGGCCAAAACGTCGGAAGAATTTCAAAAATTACTACCGCACAACAATTCGTCATCAATCAATACAAATCCTATGCGGCCAGATCAAGTAAGAGCCAGCTTCCTCGGTACAGCAGTTCAGGAATCCAGTGAACAAAAGCCGTGGGAAGGTCAGAACAGATACAACCAACAACAAGTTCCGCCAAAACTTTGTTACTTCTGTGGCAATCCGTTTTCACCTGAACATTGCCGGTCTTGCCCGGCCAGAGAGGCTACTTGCAATGCGTGTAAAAAGAAGGGCCAATTTGCTAAAATTTGTAATACCACGAAGCGCCGGGTTAGCATGGTACAACAAGATGGTCAATAATTGGATCAAGAATGGGGTATCGTACACGTAGGAGACTACAGTGAACCGGAATAAGGCGTTATGGCGATAGACGTGGTACAAATCAATAACGTAGAACTTTAAAGGCAGAAGGAGGAAAACCTAGGAGCCTCAGTATTCAGATTCTGAATAAGAAAACAGTGGAAATATAATTGAGGAAGTTACCAAATGCTCAATTCAAGGACGTTGCAAGGTATCCATTTGGAATCACATACGTTGATTGTGCAGTGTTTCCACTGCGAGGCTATGAAGGGTCTCATATTTCTCCGACACAGTTGGCTACAAATAGTTGCTGTCTTTTATCAGTTCCGTGTACCAACTGCAGAACTGTGCTGCTATCAGTCCATAGATAGGTTTCAGCGACTATGAATTGCTGCTGAGGCTTGATGAATTTTGCAAGTCTGGCTCCTATCAAGGCTGCTTGTAATTCCAGCTTGGTTGTCGTATGCTGTTTTTTAAGATCAACTCTAGCTTTTTTCAAGGGCAAACGATTTACTTCTTTGGTCTCTGATCTCATCTATGTAAACGAAATATGCGACGGAAGCAAGAGCGGCATAGGAAGCGTCGGAGAAGATTTGCAGGAAAAATTTTGACTTCTTATGGATGATTTCAATTAGTAGTGTGAAAAATTCCGGCAACTTTCTGTTGCTGCGATAGTATTCCTATGAGAATCTATATCTCCAAACACTTTGCTTCCAATTGCGGAGGTGATTAGTACTTGGCGCGGCAAGTTCTATTGGATCAATCACCGATGATGAAGTGTGAAGCCGATTCGTTGAGTTGGTTTCTTTTTCAGTAGGTCAGAAAAACTGGTTGGCTGGAATACAAGTGAGTCGCTGAAAATGTTCTACTGAATTCCTGAAGGTCGTTTGGTAGTAGGTTTGTCGAGAAGTTCGTCAAAACTGATGGCTCATTGTTTTTCAGGAATTGATGCATGAAGTTCGCTATTGATTGTTATCTCTTTGTAAGACTAAAGCTAACGGTATCAAGGACATATTGCAGGTCGTTGAAGAGTCGTTGAGTTTCACTGATGCTGTCGGTTGATTCTTAGGAGTTGTCAAAGTAGAAGTTATTATGAAGAAGGTCTTTCACATGAGGGAGGATCGATTCATTGCTGTCGGCACAAGTTTGCAATGGAAAGTTGGCGCGAGTGGATGAGCACTTTGCACCAAAGACAAAACGGGTGTATTCATAGAAATCTAGTTTGGTGGTTCTCCAGAGATATCAGAGAAAAATTCGGTCTTCTGGCTGAACAGATACTAGCATATACATCTCTTCTATGTCGGCGTTAATTGAGTATTTGCATTTGCGAAATCGACAAATTACGGCAATTAGGTTACAATTCCAGTCTGTTGGGGTCACTTTCAACTCGTGTTTGCATCTTTTTGATCTGCTGGTAGGCTGAAGCGTAATTGTTTCGCAAAGTTGCATTGGGTTGCTTTAGTTTGATTTGTAGCGGTTGATTTTGTGGGTGATTGATATCCGGAGGTTTTCAATGCTTAGCGTTTGCCTTTCGATAAGGTTAATTTGGGTGTAGATACACACAATTCATTCTCCAGGAGTTGACAAGGAGTGTTGAAAGCTCTGTGTCATCCGGTGATACGTTTTCATGTGTTGAGGCGTCACGAAAGACATCTCTCCCAAACATGTTGGCAGTTGAACCTCCAATGGTCCATCCAAGGGCTGTTGCAATTGCTCGAGGGGCAGAGTCAGGTCCTTTGATAACTGAGAGTGTCGTAATTAAGTCGATGTTGGCTGTTTCCTGAAAATTGAGACCTGATTGTTTTAAGTTGGGAAATGTGATGTGGCGAAGACGATTTTAGGTTCCGCAAATGCCGTTGAGTGTGTTTGGCTGAAAATTCTCAAGTCTCAAACTTTGAAGTATGTCAGCTCTTTTAATTTGGAATTCTTCGTTGAGGGTTCCAAGGCGATGAACAGTCAACTCTGTTGATCGGGCAGTGATCTTCTTGGAGTCGTGAAAACCGTGAATGAAAAATTATTCTGCAGTTTGTCTTTCTCCTAGTTGTAGGTAATCGGCTGTTGATGTAAGCATGTAGCTGTCGTTGCTATTGTTGTCTAATTAGTCCTGATGTACTTGTTTCTATGTCTCAACGTAACTAGCGCAGAGAGTAAGAGAAACTTCATAAATCTCTCTTGCTGTCGATTCATGAATTAGTCGTCTGTGATGAAGGCTGTTATGATTTGAAAGATGTCTGCTGGTAGTAGATTCTTCCTCGTGGAGGCTGATGTGATGTTGTCGGTTGCAGGTTGCGCATACTCGGTTGGAGGGGCAGTTTTTTTACCCAATGTTGTCCCAAGCAATGGAGGCTCAGGCTTTTCGAGAGAATGAGTTTTCTTTTTGCTTCGATTGACTAGTGTTCGTAATTGTCGTAATAGTAAGAGTGGTGTTCATGGAAAGAGAATCCGCAAACATTGCGGCTTTTCTGTTGGATTGCTTGTTGTTGGTTGAAGGTCGGTTATCGTTTCGAACAGATTGTTTGTCATCGTTTTCCGGTTTGGTTCACTCGAGTTACGATGTTTGCGAGAGGTGTTGCTGGCGTTAGAGACGTCTTCTTCAGGAAGGTAGTCGCAGGCTGAGGCAAGATTCCATAACCAGTCGTTAAACAGGGCAAGATTTGGCTTCTGTATGTCATTGTTTACAAGATACTGGGTCCATTGTGATCCTGATTGTTCACTATGATGAAGCTTGTTGACTGAAAATTGTAGATAAATTGTCCAGTTGGGGTCATTTGCAAATCCAAGAGTCAAGAAGTTTTCAACAAGGTTGCTAACGAAAGAAGAAAACTCCATGTGTGAGTCCTTTCGATGGGTCAATGGCGATCGAAAAATGTTTAATTGTCTGATAAGGATTTTTACGATAGTGTCAGTGTCAGATCGTCCGAATCATCTCTAGAGTTCACGTAAGGCTGTAGTTTTCATCGCGCTGTTGCAGGCAAATCGAGCGCCCAATTGATTTGCTTTTCCTGTGGTCAAAGCCTGGAGGTGCGTCAGTTTATCGGAATCAAAAATTGGTTGATTGTGCACTGTGGCCTGAATAAGTCCAAACCACATGCTCAATTTCAATGGATCACCATCAAGTTTTTCCATTCTGAACTTTAAAAACCAGGAAGTCTGGCTGAACGTCACAGATGATTGAGTCCGTAGAGGAAGGTGTTGATACTGATGATGATTTGTTGTTGAAGCATTAATCGGTTGAGCTGCGTACTACGTCGACAAGGTGGTTGGGATTTCGAAACTGTTCTATGGATTGGTTGCTGTCGTCTGAATTAAGTTGCATCTGCTGGTTGATGTTGCTGCGTAAACTGAGAGCTGTTGTTGATGCAGAGGTTGCTGCTGGTGCAATAGTTGTTGCTAGAGTGAAAATTATTGATGTCGTCAAAGCTGTACTTCTGTACTTAGTCCGAAAAATTTTACTCTACATGTGTGTAGACGTTTGATCATTTTCGGTGGCTGTCAAAACTGTTGTTCAAATGATCTGCAAAATCAAAAAAAAATTGAAGGTTTGGATGACGTTGATGGTTGTTTCGTCTTCAGTGGGATGCTTAACTAGTCAATTTGTAGCACTGCTCAAGTCGGGCTAACAACTTTGCTTAAACGACGCTATCATAGAATTTTTGTTATAGGAATTTTGCATTTTCTTATAAACAGTGGCTCTAGAAACGTTATAAGATAGGGATTTTTTTAAATATCAAAGTTGTAAGATAGCGACTTTTCTTGCAGCAAAATTGATCTTTGTTAGTTTTTCTTATCTTTTTGTTGATGTTTATCTCCCAACAATGCTGTAAAAAAATCAAAAATTGATTTTATAAATGGCATTTGAAAAAGGTTGCTAAATTATAGCGGGATCTCTCAAATTTTGGATAATCCGGTGAATATTTTTTTCAGGTGAGTTCAGCTCACTAAAACACTAAAGAAAAGTTTCCTTATTACAAACTACCGTTAAATTCGTGAAAAAAACAATAATTCAAACTCTGACTGGCCAAAATTGCAATTGCTACGAACCCTATAGTTTTTAGGCATTAAACAAATTTATGCAGATTTCATGCAATTTATTTTCAGACAGATCTCTATTTAAGTTTTTTTGTTTAGATATTATATGCTGACTAAATTCAGACTCTCTAGAGAATTTTTACAGGTTGAAAAGAGTAGAGCAGTCGAGTTTTTTTTGCCCTACACTTATTTCATATTTTTCTGGAAAAAAAAACAGATTCTATCTGTCTGGAGTCGATTATTGTTTGCAAAATGGTCTTAGATAAATCAATTCTATACTTATTTTGATGTGTCGATTTTCCTGTTCATAATAATTTTTTATCCATTTTTTTCAGTGCGGTAAAGTTGTAAGATTGCTGAGTTTTCCTAAATTGTTGGATATTTTGTTGGTATCATCTGAACAACCCAAAGATTTATCTTATCAGCTACTCAGAGCAAAATTTGGATCCCAAAGTAAACTTTTGCCCGATGTATAAATTTTTTCCTGATGATACCAAAACTTTGTCTGCTGAAGACTGTTCAGATCTCCCCTAGAAACTGGTCAAATAGTGTCAAATATTATTACTTTGTCAAATATTGAGTATAATGTAATTTAATTCCACTCAGAGAAGTGCCGAAGTGAAAACTTCGCGAACTAAAACTCTTAGATATCAAGCAAGCAGGCGACAAAATCACTGAGTTTACTGCAAAAACACCCGTTTAACTATGCTTAAACCCCAGGATCCATCCCTGCTATCAATTTTTTCAAATAAATTTATCTGAACAAAAAAAACCATATAGATGTCTCACTTTTTTTCTTTTTTTTCGAAAGTCCGGACAACAAATGTTAACTTGCCTTGGATCGCTACGACTACTATGGGTTATCAGTTTTTGTTCCTTGGCGGTTGTTATTTTGGTCAATATGAGATCAGAAGTCCACAATTACTTGTTTGTGTCTAGAAATAGCCTAGATTTAGCAATTATCTGATCGGGGAAAAAATTGAGAAAAGAAAATTTCAAGATTTTACTGCTTTACTTAATTAATTCACAAAAAACGGGTCTCATAATCAGAATAAAACTTAATGTTGAGGGTACATCAAAACATCATTTTTTTTTCGCTGGCTAAAGTTTTCGTTTCCTTGCTTAAAAACTAATCCGTTCACAAGGCCAAGCAAACAGTTGGTTGTTCATCGTTATTCCCCTGCTCTCTCGCTCTCTCGTTCTCTCGCTTTCTCTCTCTGATTTCTCTCTCTCTCTCTCTCTCTCCCCCTCTATCTCGCCCTCTTTCTCCTCTCTCGATCTACTGCTCTCTCTGACTCTCTCGCTCTATCGCTCTCTCACTCTCTCGTCCTCTGATTATTTCACTTGCTCACACACACACACACACACATTCTCTCTCTCTCTCTCTCTCTCTCTCTATCGCTCTCATTCACTCGCTATCGCTCTCATGTTCTCTCTCAGTTTTCTTCCTGTCTCGTTCTCTCGCTCGCTCTCTCATTCTCTCGCATTCTCGCTATTTTGCTCTTTCTCTTTCTTTCTCCAACTCAATCTCTCTTTCTACTGCTCTCCCGCTCTTTCACTCCCTCTATCTTTCGATCTCTCGATCTCTCGTTCTCACTCTCAATTTTTTGCTCTCTCGCTCTCTAGCTCCCTCACTCTCTACAACACTCTCTCTCTCTCTCTCTCTCTCTCTCCCGCTCTCCAGCTTTTTCTCTCTCACTCTCCACTCTTTCACCTTCTCGCTCCCTCCCTTTCTCTCTCTCCAACTCTTCCTCCGCCTCCTCTTTCTCCTCCTCTTCCTCATCCCCCTCCTGCTTCTCTCTCTCTCTCTTTCTCTCTCTCTCTCTCTCTGTCTCTCTATTTCTCTTCTCTTTCTCGTTCTCATAAAATTTTGATGCGTTAATGATGATAAGTCGGACCTAATACTTGGAGAGATTGGATTTTGGTATGAAAAGAATGTTCCGTTTGATAGCTTTGGAACAGTTTGAGTAATGATCTTAAATCAATCATATACAAATCAAAGATCAATTTTTTTTGGTTGAATGTTTGGTTTGGTAAAACGTTTAAACAAAAAACTAGGAACATTTTTGCAACCATTTAAAGTCAAAAAGTATCACTCTTAAAATCTACTCATTCAATAACTGAAATACATGAAACCACAAGTAAGGTTATTCAAAGAACTACTTCGTCTGAATTCATGGAAAAGGTGTACCTAGTCACAAAAATTGACATTCAGTTCAAAAATAATTAAAACTTTTTATCAAAAGGTCAGCGAAAATTTTGTAATCTTAACCTTTCGGAGCATATTTTTGCCTGAAGCTTGAAGCTCAACCCTCTCAATCGAAGATCCATTTTTGATCAAGTCAAAGAACTTTTGCTGAATCTCAAACAGCAATCTGAGGGATTTTAATTTGGTTGTTTTCGCAGGCTTTTTTTGTTTTGTTGTAAGCTAAAAAATAAGTGTGTATCTGAAATGATGTTTTATTATTAACCAGAGTGGGGCCTAACACGCATCAAATACTAAAATTTTTACCAATTTTTGCAATTTCATGTCACAGAGCACATCCAAGAAGTTGTAAAGATAATCTGAGTTTGAAAAACCTATCATGTATTTACCAAGAAAACATAAGTGTCGGGGTTGAAAAAAAAAACACTTCTCAATCAAAAACATTGTTATGAAAAAACCTCCTGGACCACTGCATACTATATAATAGAAAACATGTACGAAAAAATGAGCCATTTGCTTTGTTCCAGTATAGCATGCCGAGGGGGGAGGGTTTCAGGCAACCGCCCACCTTTAATTCTGGCTGCCAAGTTTTTCCAAAAATTCCCCTCTTTGGTACGGTTTTTAACAGATCCATTTCTGGCTGATCATCATCAAAAACCTTATGCAAGCGCCTTTGTCGCAGAAAAAACTTAATAGTGCTCAAGTGGCCACTTTTCATAAGATGTTTTCCGTTTTTTAAAATTATCGATCTTGTTGTTTTCCATATAAATTTTGGGTTTTTTGAAAACTAGGATTAAAGATGAACTACAAAAAACGGTTTTTAGTGGGTAGCAAGCATGTTTTTTTAAAGACGGCTTTGTTTGAAATTAGTTTGCAAAGAATATGACAGCTGAAATGACAATTGTGTTTTTAAAACCATGTTTCTACCAAAAAAGTATACAGGTAAGTTTGAATTGAACTCAGACTTATTTAAAATTATGTGTAGCAAAATTTTTTCAAGGAAATCTGAAAAATTGCTTTTAAATTTTATTAAAAAAACAAATAGCTACAACTTTCAAAGAAAGCCGTCCTCGGCAGAGCCCAAGTGTCATGAGACGACCTTCGGTACCTCACTCTAGTCCATTTGTCTATCTATATCTGTTAGTTGCTCCAGCAGCGTTGTTGGACGAACTTTTTTCTTAGCCTGAAGCTCCGAGACCCTCGGAGGACGAAGCAGAAGCCGCAAATCGAAATCTCCGCAATGCAGCCGCGAATAGAAGAATATACGAGGACAATAAGGATAGGAGACGTAAAGGCCCTCGGATAGGACATAACTGGTGCTATCAAGAGGCGGAATCGCGTCTAAAGTCTAGACTCTTTTTGTCGTTAGGCAATGAGGGGAAAAAGCGGTTTTTTGGAATCGTATCCCCAGTTAGACCTGCATACCTGTTGGTTCATCGATTTTCACATGAGTTGCGTTTTTTCTTATTTCTACGCACGTCTCAGTGCCCAAAACCGCGTTGCGCAACTGGCCGTTAGAACTGGAGAAAGCGACCTTCAAAATCCTGTTTATTGGTCGCATTAGGGACATTGACGTACAACGTCAGCTGATCAAGGCTAAGGCTAACCTCAAAGAAACTTTACAACTGGCACTAGAGATTGAAAAAAGGGCCAAAACGTCGGAAGAATTTCAAAAATTACTACCGCACAACAATTCGTCATCAATCAATACAAATCCTATGCGGCCAGATCAAGTAAGAGCCAGCTTCCTCGGTACAGCAGTTCAGGAATCCAGTGAACAAAAGCCGTGGGAAGGTCAGAACAGATACAACCAACAACAAGTTCCGCCAAAACTTTGTTACTTCTGTGGCAATCCGTTTTCACCTGAACATTGCCGGTCTTGCCCGGCCAGAGAGGCTACTTGCAATGCGTGTAAAAAGAAGGGCCAATTTGCTAAAATTTGTAATACCACGAAGCGCCGGGTTAGCATGGTACAACAAGATGGTCAATAATTGGATCAAGAATGGGGTATCGTACACGTAGGAGACTACAGTGAACCGGAATAAGGCGTTATGGCGATAGACGTGGTACAAATCAATAACGTAGAACTTTAAAGGCAGAAGGAGGAAAACCTAGGAGCCTCAGTATTCAGATTCTGAATAAGAAAACAGTGGAAATATAATTGAGGAAGTTACCAAATGCTCAATTCAAGGACGTTGCAAGGTATCCATTTGGAATCACATACGTTGACTACGATAAAAAAAACCTATTAAGCTGTTTGGTTCTCTCGAAATCCCGATTGTGTCGCATGGGTGGATGATCAAAAGGGCTCAATTTCTCGTGAGAATAGGACGCGCAAGTCGTTGGGCCTAAACCTCCATGAACAGTTGAGAATTGAAACAGTTCTATGGAAACTGGCGGAATTGAATGCTACGGAATATGTGGAGGAAATAGACCCAACCTCTGAATTCTGGAAAAAATTTTCTATAAACAGATATACGAGTGTGTTCAGTCGATTGGGGAGGTCAAAAACTCATCAAGTATTCACTAACTTCAAAGACCCTCCAATCCCTCGGCAAGTCAAAGGCCGAAAAATTCCCATTCACAATCAAAATCGAGTCACGGCCAAAAGTAGGAAATTAATCAGAGACGAACACACTAAAAAATTAGATAAGTGTGCTACGGATCGTTTTATTGCACCAATTGTGCTAATTGCGAAAAAAAATTGATCCATAAAACTAGCACTTAACGCTAAGCCAATGAACGCACAAATTTGGAAGAACAAGTACCAAATGCCCAATATTCGTGAATTGATCGATTCGGCGACCCAAATTATCACTAAGTATCTGGAAAATTTGGTTTACCTCTCTTGACCTTTTAGACAGTTATCTCTGTCGGATCTAACAAGTAGTCATATAGTCATAGTAACTTCAGCATTTTGGGTGGAGAAGCGGCTGACACGTATCAATTCAAAACCGGCTTCTATGACTCGATGTATATGCCCGCAGAATTTCAAAAGGCGATGGACTGTACACTTCGGGGGCTGGAAGGATTCAAATGTAACCTCGACGATATACTGGTGGTCACTAAAGGAGAGTTTGAGGAGCACAATAAACTGGTCGATCAGGTCATGCAACGTTTGAACGAAGAAGGATGGGCACTGAAACTAAACAAATGTGAGTTCTCAGTTAAGAAACTAATCTGGTTGGGGTATAAAATCAACAAGTCCAGTTATGCCCCGAAGTTGTCAAAGATCGAGGCTATCAAAACATTTGTGCTACCGAAAACACTCAAACAACTATGCGCGTTCAATCATCTTCAACGTTTCATACCGGATCTGCATAAGCAAAACGTTGCAATTCGAACTTCGTTAAAAGCGTGCAATTAGGAATCATGTCTGTGGGGGGAAGATCAAAACGTAGCTTTTAGGAGCATACTCGACCTCATTGCGAATATCCCAAACCTTTGCGATTACGATGCTTCAAAAGCCTCGAGGATTAAAAGTGACGCACAAAGGAAGTGGTACCAAACGCTTGGGCTCCGATAGCTTTCAGCTCGAGATTCCTCAACTCTGCAGAATTCAAGTACAGCACTAATGAGCTGGAGCTTTTGGCCATTGTTTGAGCGTGCAAACACTTCCGTTTGTTATTTACTTTGTAAATGTTTTGAGATTCTCACGGATCACAGAGCCATTATCTTGGCACTCAATGAAACGTACGGGTAGAAATCGTACCAATCGCGGCTTTCTCGGTGGGCGGACCGCCTCATTCGGTTTCGTTTCGAAGTTAAACGTGTACCAGGATTGTCCCTAGGTATCGTGGATTACATATCAAGACACCCGACCTTTAAGGCCGCCCAACCATCATCATACGACGAACTTTTCGTCATTCAATCAAATCATGCCTTTAATAACGCTTTAAATTCAAACCATAATTCGCGACGGGCAGAAATAGCGCCTGTGGGCAATATTTTGAATCGAAGAATCAAATACTAGCCAAACAAAACGCCTGGTAATAATTTGGACTAAATCTTTCCCCTCTGCACCAACAACGTTGTCCAACATGCTCACGTAACAAATTAGGATTTAGTAATCGATTTCTATCGGCGCCACTAGAGGGTGTAGTGTTAACTAACCAATACCTTAACCAATCAAAAGTCGAAATTTTTGACAACCATCACTCGTCAGTAGAGGGCGTTAAACCATGCTCTCAGTTGCTCAGCCAATCACAGATCAGTATGTATAAGTCTTACTTCTCAAACTCGCCGCAAGAGGTTGACTTTCCATGCTCGACCTTTCAGAGTCAACTATGCAAATGAGATACGCTTAACCGGAAGTTTGTGAGAGAAATCGTTGTCTCTGATCTTTCATCTCATCATCAAGTCTTGCTATGAACACTTTTCAAATCAAACATTCTATAATAATACTTCTAACTCATCCATCAGTACTATCGATCTAGGGCACAACATATTTGAACAGGCAAAGCTTCTCAACTTTGTAGAAAACTTTAGTACTCTTCCCCTAACTTTCGTGCCCCAAGTCATCAGCGATGCGATTTTCACCCTCAATGTCTGGCTCAATGAATCGACCTACTAGGATT